AAGCTTAGGAAGATCTGCAGCCCCTGGCGGAGTCCCGGCGGTGAGTCGGATCGTTGCAGCTCCGCTTCACTCCGACGGAAAAAATCATCCAAAACTTCTCACGCTTTACTGCTTCCCATGGTTTCACCAGGCTCTCTTCCTGCTCTGAGGACCAATCAGAACGAGACTCTGTCCCGCCCCTCTGACATCATCATCCACCTCAGGAAACAGGTGAACGTCTAACCAAAGAAAATAATTATGATTTATTGTTTTTTAATAAGTAATTCAGGTAAATTTCACCTGGATTTACGGTTGTTGACACGACTTTTGCAAAAATGACATTTTTTAAGATTTAAAACATGAGAGAGACCAGATGCCTTTAATGTGAAACTTTGTGGACTGAACAGGAAATCCAGCCAGTCGCTCATTTGCATCTTTTATTTTTAATTATAATTTGCAGAGATTTTAGAAAAGAAGCAAAATAATCTCACNACAACAACACAAAACCTTACCAAGTATTTTTGTCTACTTCCTAGTGCAAATATCTACACTTGAAAAAATACAAAACTAACAAGTAACATTTCAGCAAGATAAAGGAGCTTGTTTTGTGTCAATGATCCTTTAATAAGTATTTTTTAAAAGTCTTCCTCCACTGACAGTTTTTCACTTCTAACAGGATATTTTTCCTGGTTTTAAGTGGAAATCTGCCAGTGAAACTGGTGCTTTTTATCTGTAGTAACACTTGGAGTTACGTCATCTACGGTTATCAGCCAAACCTCTGGCTTCAGCTGGGATCAGCAGCAGCTGGAAGACATTACCCAGCATGCTCTGGGGCACACTCGATGTGGTAGGTTGTCCAGAAACCACAGGAGCTGCAGGAGGAGCAAACTGCGGTTTTCACGCTCAGCTGCAGCTTTTAAACCCCGTCAGTCACGTTTCTGCTGCTTGTTTGTCTCCGTCATCATGGTTTCCAACCACAGCTCCTGACTTCTTCATCCCAACGCTGATCTTTGGTGGTTCTTTCTCCTTATCAGGTTCTTTTCACCTTGGTTTCAGAATAACTTCATGTCCTCACGGTAGTGAAGGAAAATGAAATGGGTCTAACTAGAATCTGCAGACCTGTAAACTCTCCAACACCCAGTAAAACACACTTGCAGAGCTTCAGACTGGACCAGAACCAGAACTGAGTGAAGCTGCAGCCATCACAGCTGAACTTCTCCAGAACTTTCTACTTCAGCCTGTCTCCTTTAGTTTACATGAGAATCAGAAAAAATAGGTTTTTAATCTAAATGGGTTTTATTTATTCTGGGAACATAAAGGTTAAGAAGAATAAGAATAAGAATCAGACAGTTTCTTTTATTAAAGTTTATATCTTTAAATGCACCTCAACGTGAATCCAACAAGTAACAAACTAATGAAATTGTCAATAAATTAACAGAAGTAAAAGGGGGTGAACGTGTATTGAATTGATCTGTAATATCGAGTTACACCAAAAGGTGGCGGTGTATCTTTTAATATGCCGCCTCATATACATGAAGAAGTGGACAAGCACTTTTTTATTAGTGTTCGGCTAATAACGTCCATCAAATACATTGAAGAAATTCCTCTAAAGTTTTTATCATGGAGTATTTGGCATTCCACCAACCAGTCTTTTGTAGACGATGTTTTGAGAGTGAAATAACCATTCTACTGCGTTAGCATTTCATGCTAGTTGTTCCGATAGGCGCTAGCTTAGCAGCGGACTGCTAGTGTATTTTGGGTTGACTGCTATATTTTTATGTTCATATGTAATAATACACTTTGTTGAAGATTGTGTAAATTATACTGCATTAACTGTTTTTGTAAAAACAATTTAGAGCTTCCTCTGGTAGTTATTTTGTGACCGTTTTTGTTTACTCTGAAAAACAAAACGGAGGAAGCAGAAAAATCCAAGATGGAGTATGTAATGCCGAAGTGTTTATAAGTTAAAGTTAGGTTGTTGGTTTGGACGATATTTGTCCGTAATCATGGCTTAAGGTGAAAAATAATAAGTGTCTTTTTGTTTTGTGTAAAAAAGGTTTGATGATTTGTACATTTAAATGAGTTAAAATGCTTTTTATTAAGCGGCTATTCTAAAATAAATCAGGACAAACTTATTAAAAAAGTGAAAGTTTACAGCTCAGACATCTCAGATTATAGCATAAGCAAATTAGCATCTGCAGTGTCTGAAAACCCTCCTGGTTTGTGTTTCCTCAGAAATTCAACGCAGACTTCGACCTGTCTGCTAAAGAAGGTGCTGACAGCCTGGCCTTCATCTCTCTGCTGGAGGAGAAGCTCATGCCGGCGCTGGTAAGACGGATCGTTTCCCCCTGAACCCTGCGTCCCGTCCTGAACCTGCTCACCAGCCTGCGGGTCGGACTTCCTCCTGCAGATCTACACCTTCTGGGTGGAGCCGAAGAACTTCGTGGAGGTGACCCGACGCTGGTACGCCGAGCACATGATGTTCCCCCTGAACTTCTTCCTGCCGGGCCGGATGCAGAGCCGGCAGCTGGAGAAGCTGCGGCTGCTGAGGGGAGACGAGCACCTGGAGGCTGGGGAGGAGCTGGAGAAGGAGGTGAGACCAAGTTGGAGCTTCCCAGCAGCTTAAAGGGCCAGTATCATGTAAAATCCACTTTTCTGGATTGATTCTTTACTGCCTATTTGAGAAATCCTTTAATCTCTATGGCAATCATTCAGCTGTGCAAAATGCCTGGGTGGACGTAGCCCCGCCTTAGAAGATGAAGCTCCTTCAGACTAGCCAGCAGCAATTAGCAAACACTTGGTGGAACTGCTAAGCTCATTATAGGAGCTGCTGCAGAGCAACTCTGGTAAAACCGCTAAAGGGTTAATAGAGGAGCCATGTTGGGATGACTTCCT